GGCTGACAATTTGCATAATGTAATTTGTGAGATGTCAGCATGTGTACACTGCAGTTACAGCCTAATGAACAAAAAATGACATATTGGCCCATAAAAAAATAAGATATCTTGCGTAAAACCTGAAAATTAACTCTGTATTTTGAAATTATAAACCTAAAAGAAAAGTGACAAGGTAAGAAATGATTACGTACCTAGCATTTATTGTATGTGAATATATTTTTCCTTTTCAACTTAAGCATATACTAGGCTCCATAGAAAGAGGAAAAAGACAGAAAGCATGGCTTGACCGAGTGGGCTTTACAGTCACTCAATTGAAGAAGCCCAAGACCCCAAGGATGGGCTTTTGTTTTCCAAATCAACCCATGGTTTTAATGAGTGAGCTTTTCAATTGAGCAATTGAAGAAGCCCAACGCCCACTTTATTTGTTTTTGTCTTGAAATACCAGAAAGAGACCCAAAGGTCCATTAACGTTAGACGTAAGCCTTTTTTCTTTAATCATGCCTAATGTATAACTGATCATTGGGTTGTCAATGCGATGCCCATGCATAATCGGTAGATACATAATTTGAATCGTACATTATTTGACGACCACGAAAATAATTGAATTATTTGGACCGACGATAAAAACCCTGCATTATAGAATGTAAGAAGATTGTTGTTCACGTTTCTGAAGGGTGGCAAAAATCAAGAGAGCATGGCCGAGAGATATGGAGTGTTCTTTCGCCTTTAAATAGGATATCCACGCAGATACTGCAATTGCATTAACTCCTCTCACATTACAAGTGAGTTTATTAAACGAAATAGGACAAATAATACCCAAAAATCAAGAAAGAATGAATGAAAAAGGTTTTCCCCGTATCAACTTAATATGTATAAAATTAATTTATAATAAAATTTAAATCATAATAGAGACTTTATATGTTAAAAAATAATGTTGCACACGTAATAAAATGTTACAAGTTATGATGTTATTGTTGTATTCTATTTTATATTGGTATAATAGTTTAAAAATAAAATTAAAAAATATTATTTGAAGTATCCGAAGCGTCAATTAAAATGAATATAATTCCAGCATTAGTACAACACTAACACAATTACTACTTAGAAATATCTTCCATGTTCTACTTAGGTTCATTCAAAGGCTGAAATTAGCAAACTCTAAAAAAAATATCATTCTTTGTCAGAAGCCAAGTTGTAAAAATAAATAATACCTTCATTTCGATCCCTTTTTTCCCTTGATTTGAGCAATCAAATCTGCATGGTCAAAGCAAACATATTTAGGACCTTTCTGCATACAATATATAACTCGGTTTTATGATTTTTAAGATACTTTTAACGTTTTTTCTTTACTATACATTTTCTTTTTAGCTTTTGGTTTAACGGAAATTGAAAGTGAAATCCAAACATGCAGTTAGTGTATGCATATTTTGCGTTGCAAAGCATACAATCGATTCTGTGTATAAAATAAAAGATCCTGATGTTGTCATGACACAAGGTACATTAAATGGCAATGATCTTCTTCACTTCTAACAAAATCATTCTCCATCTTATATAAACATGCCTTAAAGTTTGTTAAGTTTCTCCATTGTGAACAGCTGTTTGGTGAAAGGAAAAAATATTTGCCATGATAAAAAATCCCTTAGGTGTGTTTCTCTGTTGAGACTCTGTATCCAATCATGCCCTAAGATCACTCATAAGGGTCAAAGAACAATGTCCCAATTGTTTCACATATGTAAAAGAAGAAGCTGAGCCTTCTTATCAACCTTTTATCGGAGTTTTAAACATACTCAGCCTCTTGGCATGAACATGATGGACACGAGACAAAATGGTTATCCCATATTCTGTGGCGTATGCTATGGAATCTACAACTCGAAGCTCCTTAACCATCCAATTTCCAGAAGGACGGTAAATGTTGTGGAACCACCCAAATATAAAACACAATGCCAAGTTATTCTTTCTATTATTTAAACAATAACTCCTCATTGATGATATTCTTCATGGCCCAGGCCATAAGCATCTTGAGGCTAATGTATAAGCAACGACATGCAATATGAAAGAAAAAACTTCGGAATCAAAAATAAAAAGTTGATAGCAATTGACAGAAAATGTCATTAAGCCAAGAATAAATTATTCTGATTCCCTTTTAAAATATGCTCCGAAACAGATAAAAGAAAAAAAAAAAAAAAAGAGAGTACAGAATTATATTCTACATGCATAAGGTCCAAGGTAGTATTAACGTGCAGTGGGCATTGGAGGAGGCTGCTAGCAGAAGAGAATGATGTTGTGAAATAGATGAAAAGAAAATAAGAGCTCATTCAGGTATCTTCACCGTGGATTGACTTAAAAAACTGTTAAGACACCCAAATTACTTAGAAACAAGATACAACACCAAGGACTAGCTTCTGAAATATGAATATTGGTCAATGCTAACACATAATCATAAGCTTGTAAATTTTTCATAATCATAAGCACATGTCTCGCCTAAATTTCAAAGTATCGTGGGACCGGGGGAGAAAAAGATCAATAGTGTAACTAGGAAGAAATTATGCTTCCATCACCATTCACCAGTGAAAATTTAACACAAATAGGCTTAGGATAAGAAATTGTATCTGAATTCATTAAACGAGCTGTTAGGCAATAGTTTGTCAACACAGCGTCAAGGTTGGATGCACGCACAGTAAAAAAGACTTCATTTTCAACTCTTTACAAAGACCCATACCCATGATAGCATACAATGCCCTCAGTAATTTAGCATGCTCGCCACTTATTATAAATCAAAAGATGACCTACAAACTAACAAAACCTTGACCCTAGGGAGTTCTATATCGAATATTGCATTATCTCACCCTTGTAATTTTTTTAAAAGTGCTATTAGCAGATAGCATATGGCATAGCAAACTGTAAATATAGGAAAGGACCAATAGTCGCATGAACAATTGTTGTGATTGAGATAGATCAATAATTTCAGACCCGATTTGATAGAATCAAGATTTTTCTGTGATTTTGCCTCAACAGCCAACAAGACGACTAAAATCGATTAGCTGGCCGTGAAAAGGTCAAAATAAATTAGTGTAAACTCGTATTAAATACCAGTGTCATTATTTTAGCTAATCAAATTATTTTTACATCAATTCAATCCTTCTATCATGCAAAATAAATATCAAATGATTTTCTTGGTCATTAAAAACAACACCAATTTAGTCCCTTAATCTTGTGATCTGTACACTGAAGAACGATCTTAATGGCACTTTCCATGATTGAAGAGCTGAATTGATGTCAAAAGTATTTATAGGCATAAAGTGATGAACCTTCTATCTTCAGTGTAGAAGACTAACATAGGATTTAGTTAATAAACTATAATCTCCACGTCAAATCAGCAAAAATGGGCCAGAGAACTTGTAAGGAACTTTATACACGGTGAAGTTAATAATTTTAAGTGGAACCACCACCTTGGTGGGCACTGGGCAGCACTAACTGATTTCGGGTAAGTTAATGATTTCTTTTGGACAGACTGCATGCCGTGACTGAAGGGCAAACTTTCAGCAGTTGAGAGACAAAGTGAAATTACAAATGTATGGGATCAGCTGCTGATGCATCACTTATGCAGGAATGACCACAAGAAACTTACCTCACAACACCATACTCTCTTTGAGATGCTCAGATCAGAAACTACATGATAGATAAAGATTTTGGGTATATTTCGGATTGAAGAGAATAAACACACAGATGAAAAGTTACGAAGGTTTGTATCCACTACAGAAATGGCTAACATAGAAGCTAAAATAATCTTTAATTAGTTTTGGGAGTTTAACTTAAGTCTTAATTTAACATTATATTAAAATTTATTGTAAAACTAAAATTATGTCACTCTTAACTGAAAAAAAATAAATTTACCTCACGAATTTTTCAAGCTCTTGAAATGTCCACTCTCAAATTTACAAACCCAGATTTATGAGAAACAAAGTATTGAGCTTCGCCAACAATTATTTCATGCAAAAATTGCAGAGGATAGCTGGCTCTCCAAATGAGACGTGTCTAATAAAAAAGGTTTAGGTTGAAGGTTTTTATATATATATATATAAATAAATAAACAATGATGTAATCAATTCTTTTTTAATAAATAATGTTTTATTGTCATTTTCTTGTTCTCCTGTAAATATCACAATCTTCTCGCAAATTGAAGAATTAAAATTAAATTTTATTATGAAGGAAACAACTAAAAAAGAAAAAATGGACGAGAGCTTTAATATTCGATATTATGAAAAAGAAATGCTACTGAGTTCTCTGCCAGCCACGAAAAAGCTTCCCCCAGCGAGAGGTAAATATGCAGAAAGAGTTGTTGGGCATTGAACACTTGACGGAATTCAAATTTTTCCAACAACACTTTATCTCAGTGAAAGACATGTAAAATCCTAAAACACAACGCAGAATGGGAAAACTTGAAATGCCAAACCTTGAAATGCCAAACCTTGTAGCCTCAGTTCATACACATTTCACGGCAACGAACGAACGAACGCCTTTGTCTCCTTGTCAGTCTGCAACAACAACCATCCCAACATGCTCAGCTCTTCACCAACAACAACACCTCATAATTTTCCATACCCACCAACTAATTTGCAACCTTTTCGATGATTCCCATCATTGGCTCGCCTTCAAGTTTCATTATCCACTGACATTTGAGCCCCATTAGGCATTCTCCACCCCCAAAGTCCCAAACCCGATTGTAGTAAATAAAAGTCACCACCTTCACCAACAGGGTAAACAGAACAGAACAAAACAAAGGTGGTGGTAAGGAAAAGTGATATGCCCTTCCCCACCACCGACGGTTGTGAACGAGAGAGAGTAAAATGGTAAATTCCCTTTGCTTGCAAACAAGTGATTATTAGTCAACAAGATTAGAAGAAAACGATTCTCGGTTTTCAAAAACAAAAAAGTAAAAAAGGGGAGAGAGAGAGAGAGAAAGATATTTATGATTGTTTTTGATGAGTAAAGTGCGCCCACACATGGCAGCTGTCTCCAGCCCATTTTCACTCACTCATTGAATTTCACTATATATCTATCTCCTACCATTTTCACTACAACCCATCCCTTCGTTTTCTCACCATGGCAATGGCACACATGATCCTTCTCATATCCCTGCTAGTGCCATCTCTATTATGCACAGCAACAATATCAAACAATGAAGAAGCAGAGGTGCAAACCCTAAACACAAACCCATCCCACTACTACTCCAAATTCAACCCTCAGGTCCCACCCCTCAGAACACTCTCTTCCTCCAAGCGCTTCGAAGGATCTTCAGAGTTCGTGAAGCTAAAGTACCACATGGGACCCGTCCTCTCTTCTCCGATCAACATATACCTCATCTGGTACGGCAAGTGGGCCCCGTCTCAGAAGCTCCTCATCAAAGACTTCCTCCTCTCCATCTCCGCCTCCAACCGCCGCGCCGCACCCTACCCCTCCGTCGCCGACTGGTGGCGCACCGTTTCCCTCTACACCGACCAGACCGGCGCAAACATCTCCCGCTCCGTCTCCATCGCCGGCGAGTACGCCGACCTCCGCTACTCCCACGGCAACCACCTCACGCGCCTCTCCGTCCAGGAAGTAATCGCCACGGCGGTGCGCTCCAAGCCCTTCCCGGTGGACCACCGGAACGGGATCTACCTCATCCTCACGGCGGAGGACGTCACGGTCGAGGACTTCTGCCGCGCCGTCTGCGGGTTCCACTACTTCACTTTCCCATCGAAGGTGGGGTACACGCTCCCCTACGCGTGGGTGGGGAATTCGGGAAAACAATGTCCGGAAGTGTGCGCGTACCCGTTCGCGGTGCCGGGGTACATGGGAGGAGGGGGACCGGGGCAGTTATCGCCGCCGAACGGCGACGTTGGAGTGGACGGAATGGTGAGCGTGATAGGGCACGAACTGGCGGAGCTGTCGTCGAATCCGCTGGTGAACGCGTGGTACGCGGGGGAGGACCCCACTGCCCCGACGGAGATTGGTGACCTTTGCGAGGGTTTGTACGGCACGGGTGGCGGTGGCGGTTACATTGGGTCCGTAATGAAGGACAGAGAAGGAAGAACTTTTAATCTTAACGGTAGGAATGGGAGAAAGTTTTTGGTTCAGTGGATTTGGAGCCCCGTTCTCAAGGCTTGTGCTGGTCCCAATGCTTTGGATTGAATTTCATCACTCATATACACTACTACACTAGTATTCTTTCTTTCCTATGCTTACTTCCTTTGTATCATATCTAATGATGCTTTTCTTTCCCTTCTTCAGACCAAATTCATTTATATTATCATTATCGCAACCTTTTTGCACCATTTTACCTTCCTTTTTGTTCTTTTCACTGTGCTTTCTTCCCAGCTTTTCCTTGCTCCAGCGCCGCTGGCTTTCCCCCCTCCAAAATCTTGATCTCAAGGACACTCACCCTATAGATTATTAAAATCTTAGACTTATTCAAACTACATTTTTATAAAATCTTTAAACAAACAAATCTATGCTGCAAATATCAGTGCTTTAACTGATATGATTGTCACTAAATTCTTAAAATGCAAATAATCTTAATTTATTCTGTGTTGTTATCCTAATCTATTAAGATTTATTAAAAGTTCGTTACGATTATATTAGGCTCGCGAGTGCATCGTATCAAGTAATCTGGTATTCTCCTATAAATTAGGAATCTTGTCCACTGTTACTAATATAAAAGTAAAATTTTCTCTTCTTTTATAAGTTAGGTTACAGTTAATTAGTCTCTTTATATGTGCGATATGTCATTCTAAATGCATCCATGTTTATCTGTGTACACTTACCCTTATTTATGTCCATTTATTTTCCTCTTTCTTTATTTTATCATAAAAGCAACCTCTAATTTATTATCAATAAATTTTATTTATTAGTTTTTAAAAATAATTCAGTTCAATGGTGTTAATCAAAATTGTAATTTTAATGAAAAAGTAATAAAAGATTTAATATTTTCAGATTCAACATTAATAAATAATTTTTCATTTTTTAAAAGAAAATTTAAAGGGAAAAAGATTCTTTCCATTTTAGTAAGGACAACTTTAGATAGAGTACAATGATTTCTTTAGTGTCATATTTTGTTCAAAATATATTGACTTTTTGTTACACGCTCATGATTTACTATATTTTAAAATATATATATAAATATATAACCAATATGCTTTTCAGCCCAAACAAATTCATGTGATGAACCCAAAGGTGTTTACCATTACATGTCAATATATAGGTACGTTCATCTTATTACCCAAATTTTTATGGCACCGGAATTGACACAAGGACGAGGGTGTTTGTAAATATACCCTACCCTGTGTAAATCGCTATTATTGACCGACTTGAAGCTTTTATACGTGTCCGAATAGTTCTGAGATAATTCTTCAAGTATCAGGAGCTTTGTGTGAACATCATAATGGGCCCAAAAATTATTTTATAACATTATTCTCTATCTTCAAACTCAATTTGTGCAATTAATAAAAAAAAAAAGGTCAATTAGAAAAGCCATTTTCCATTAGCTAATTAAAATTTAATTTAAACTTAAGCTCCATTAGTTTATTCCATAAGCCGAGTGTGCACTATATTTTTCCAACAGCATATTGTTAGTCATTAAGTATAGATTTTCCTACTCTCTACTTTCTACCAACCAAATCAAGTATTTTGAGCTAGTATTGAAAGTGGCACATGCAAACATGAAGTCAAATAATGCAAAAAGGCTACTAAAAACAACAATCCCCCCCACTTAGGCACATGGTAATCATGACATTAATTGTGTTTGTTTCTGTTCCTTGATTGTAGGTTTTGGCATGTTTACTTTTGCTTTTGACATTATTCGATTGGATGGAATGGGTAGAAAGATCAAAGATGCATAGCAAAATTTTTGTGCCTTTTTTTGTTGATGGATTGGTCAAGTTGATGATGGGAGAGAGATGCCAATGCTCAAGGCAAGAAAATAAGGAGAGACCTTAACTCGAAAAGTGTTAACTACCCAATTCAGGCCCACTTCAATTAGAAAATTTGTTGTTCACAGCTAATCACATGTCCCACTCAGTACACAATTACACAAACTCCATCCATCCTGTGAATTATATTGATTGGCATTTATGTCTATTATTATGATTTTGGAGGATAGATTGACATTTTTTTTCTTAAGAGAATTTCATTTTATGTCTATGTGGTATTCAAATAACTCTATGATAAAACTACAATTTAAAAAATAATTCTACCCTTTTATATAAAAGTTAATCATTTGAAATAACAAATCATTTAGCTTGGAAAACATTAGGTTCTAGTGTTTCCTTTATCTTTCAAAAGGGGATGGGTCTTGCCTGTGAGGGCCACTATAAAGAGATAAAAACAGGAGAGACTTTATATTCGTTTGGTATTTATTTTTTACAATAAAATTTTCATATGATAAGTCAGTTAAAAACCATCAAGATAAAGATATTTATAATTTTCTTCGCTTTTAAATTGTAGCTATTTTGCTAAATAATGCAACAAAAATATTAACAACGCAGTTATATTTTTATTGGATATTTTAAAAATGACAAAAGTTTCCTTTTCTACCAAATATGTTACCAATGACAAAGAGCAACTAAACAAAAGACAAATAAAGTTAAAAGTAATTGGTGTTAGTTCCGTAAAAAAAATAATATTAAGGTAACAAATGATACTACATCATTTGTAACTTTCCTTCAAAGTGAAATCTGAATAAAATAGCATTGTTCTTTTTTATCGTTACAATTTTCTTGTGCAAAGCGTTTATTTAAAAGAAATTTTGATTAAAAAAACGTTCCAGGGTAAATAAAATAAACAATTTCTAATACAAATTCTCAAGTATGCAGCTATGTATTTTTCAATTACTTTATGTAAACAAAAGAATAGTATTATTGCAATTTTAACGGTTAGAGATGCTATAAAAATGCTTATATTTTTTTTCATGTAATAACTCAGGTTTTTGTACTAATTTATTAATTATATAGTATCAGAACTTTTTGATTGAGTTTACGAGTTATATTAGAGCTTGATCTTTACCTTGATATCTCCAATTTTGAAATAAATGTTAAATATAAATGTAAGGTAGAAAATAGATAGGTATATGAAGGGATGCATAAGAGATGCTGCATTAAATTATCATGTATTTTTCACTTCATGATTTTAGCTATTGAGGTAATTAGTTGATGACATCTGCAGCTAAACCATTAGTTTTTTCTTTAAAAAAATTAATTTTTTAACTTGTGTTTTCAAGCACATAAAAGGTTTATTTCACTAAAAAAATAACTTATGGAGAGCAAATTTAAAAAATATTTATCAAAAACTACTTTATAATAAGAAATTTAAAGAGCAATTAGTGTTGAATCATTCTCTAAAATAAACTTTCAAAAGATTATTTAGATAGTAGTTATTAAATAACTATTCTTTAATTTTATTATTTAAAAAAGCAGTTGACACGTGAAATCGTTAAAAAATAAAAATTAGAGAGTAGTTACTTCTTAAGGTTGAATTTTAAATAAAACTTAGAATAACATTTAGAGGAAGAATACAAATTTAGTCAAAATTTGGGATTCGAAGAAGGGCATGCAGAAAAATGTGTACCATCTGAACCAGTGAAGGGAAATTCTTCTATGGAGAATTTTTTCCTGTCGTTCCATTCATTACTATTTTTTCTGCATGCCCTTCCTCGAATCCCAAATTTTGACTAAATTTGTATTCTTCCTCTAAATGTTATTCACTTTTTTTTTAGTAATTTTATCAAGCCAGACATCTAATAAAAAATAGTAAATTTTCTATTTTTTTTACTAAGAATTAATACTACATATTTTTATTTAAAATTTGAATAAATTTAAATGAAAACCAATTTAAAAAATATTATATTTTCAAGTGTAATTTACAAAGAAAAAAACTTGCACATCTCTTCCACATTAAAGAATAATCCAACGGATCACGAGAAGTATTCAAACCACCTTGATTTCAATCATTTTAATTACGTTTCTTTTCCTTTCAGTTATTTTCAATTTGTTTTCTTTCATTTCACTTCATTTAAATCAACTTTTGATATAAAGAAATAAAGTATAAATATATTTTGAGTTTTGAATGATTGGTTTATTTTTTTGCCTTCAAAATTCATGCCGTTGAGATGCAGTATACATTACTTTGTGCAATGCATGGATTGTTTCGCTAAACGTTTTGTGTCAACCTTTCAGTGAAAATTAACAAATGGAATATGGATACTCTTAACAGCAAGCAATGATAATGTAACATAGCAACAATTTCATATGAAAAATATATTAATTTCAAGGGATATATTAATAATATAATGAAATTGGCTTTAGATCGATCGAGTTAAAATTCACCTGTGATCTTGCTACTCGATGAGCATCATCTTTTGGAACTTAACTATTTTTTATCATAAAATGTTCTCATTTCACTGAGTTGTCAGACACAGAAATTAAGTTTTACTTGACAATTTCTTTCAAACCGGAAGTGATTTATGTTTTACCATTTGGATCCTGATAGATGTTTGGACTGCTTCAACTTGCCAGAGTAGATATATACCAACCAAAGAATGTATAATATCAACCCACAACACTAAATCAATATCAATATTATGAATCGAACCTTCAACTATATATAAACGCTAGCTTTTTGGCCTATACATTACTTCAATAAAATTAGACTTTGCAAAAATTACATATTAAAAAAACTCAGATGAAGTTGTTAAGATCTTATATATGGAACACCTTGCCATGAATATTTAGAAATTGGAGTAATGTAGTTAACAATAGGATAATGTATGGTTCTAATATGAAAAGCTGAGTCACACGACGGAGATGTTGTGATCCATAGTGTGAATGTTGGCTCAATTTTAGATTAAACGCTCATTTAAGTTATCTTGATTATTGTTAAAAATATGAAAAACTGAGCCAGCCAATGAACTTGATCATTGTTAGTTGTTATATATGCAAACATCGTATAAAATAAACAATTTAAATATTGCCTTCTTTTTAGTTAAAAGTAATAATTTTCCTTGTCTTTCTTTTAAAGACCTAAGACTACTTGACCTCATCATAATTATTCTTAATCGGACTAATTAAGTTCGAATTATAAATTTAAACTTAACTAATATTTTTAAAATATGATCCAACTCGACCCGTGAATAATCCTACATGGCATCATCAATTTGATTATTTTGTCGAAGTAATTCCTTCACGCATAGAAAGCGAAATCAAATATATCATTTCTATTACTTACAAATGAAATTACTTTCAGTATTTGATTGAAAACTAAATGCTACTTTTTAAATCTTCTTTTCAAATAATACTAGTTTTTTAGGAATCAATTTAGAGAAAAAAAATTTAATAATTTTTATAATTGACCAAATTAACGTCATTTTATATTGTTGATGAACTAACAAATTGTCAATTTTATGCAATTACCAAATTAATTAATTTCGTAAATATTTTGGAATTAGACTGGATGATTACTCTCTTGTGTATTTGTATTGATTAAAAAAAATTGTATCCACTACTTTAAGTTTTTCATTTTCTTCCAAAGCTCTATATCCTAATTAATTAATTATATATGTTTAGATGTTTAACATCAATTAAGAATCCAAGCCATTAATTATATATGTTTAGATTTTTAACATTAATTAAGAATCCAAGTGTTTGGGATAAGGAAAATTTTCTAAGTTAAAAATCATCTTGAAGGAAACTACATCTCAACAAGTTTTGAGGGTCAAGAAGGAGCCAAAGATAAACCTGAACATAAGAGAATATTGGAAGATCTTTGGTTTTAATTAAAAAGAACACATTTCGAGCTATTTTAAGAGATTTTTGTCACATTGTTGATTTTTCTCTAAACTGCTTGAAAGACAAGAAAATATTCTAAGACCACAAAACTAAAGGCTTTTTCGAGAAGTTTTGAGGAGTTCTTAAGTCACTGACACAAAAAACTACTCGAAAAATAGAACTGGCAAGAAAATATTCCAAGTCCACAGAACTGATGGTTTTTCGAGGAGTTTTGAGGAGTTTTTAAGTCCCTGACACCCAAAGCTGCTCGAAAAACAGGACTAACAGGAAAATATTCTAAGTCTACAAAAAACTGATGGCTTTTCGAGGAATATTTGATGAGTTTCCAAGTACCTGACACCCAAAACTGCTCGAAAAGCAGGAAGTGGTAAGAAAATATTCTAAGTCTACAAAAAACTGATGGCTTTTCGAGGAATATTTGATGAGTTTCCAAGTACCTGACACCCAAAACTGCTCGAAAAGCAGGAAGTGGTAAGAAAATATTCTAAGTCCACAAACTTGGCTGAGTTCCAGATTTCCTCCAGAATCGCTCGAAAAATAAGAAGTGGTCAGAAAATATTCTAAGTCCACAAATCTGGTCGAGCTCAAGAGTCTCTCCAAAATTGCTCGAAAAATAGAAATGAGCAAAATGTTCTAAGTCCACAAGACCCAGACAAACTCTCAAAACTCCAGAATAGCTCGAAAAGAGAAGTCAAGAAGAAACTATTCCAAGGCCATAACATTAAAAGAGTTTTTCTAGGTTTCTCTCAGAAATACTCGAAAGATAGGAGTATTGAAAAATCCAAAAGCGGTTACCAGTAGTTATCAACATTCACCACTACGCAAAGGAGATCATGGGCGATAGCGGTTACAGCTCCAACAAACAGCACGATCACAAGCAATCGTGGATAGTGAGCATCAACAGTTGAAGGCAGTTACTAAGAAGTGCCCGCAAAAGGTGGAAAACGGTGGTGATCTTCATGTCTATAAATACTACAAAGCATTATTTCACAAGGGACGACTTTTTGCACCCAGACACCGCACCTAAACACTCTGAGACGCTGAAACCCTGCACCGCGCCAGACACCAGCTACAAGGAGACCTACGGTGGCCGCTGTTCGCCATTGCGAGGAGTCGTACGTTTATATTCACGCACCTTTAAATCTCTACATTTACCTTTCTGCATTTTAATTTCAGTATTCGTTGCTTGTATCTTTGTACACTCTTGGCTTCCTGTTTGTTACATTTTTGTAAAAGCATCTACGTTTGATTTAATTCTGCACATTTATTATTCACTATTCCCGCTTAATACTCTTTTACGCCGTTAATTTGAGCATCACGTTAACAACACACTTAAAAGAACCCAAAGAGGACCTAAATCCAGTCCCCAGATTGATCTTTGAATTATTTGTTTATAACTGTCATTTTTCACCGTAAACACCAAGCTATCGATTTTATCCAACAATAGCACTATTTAAGAAATAATGTTTAGTCAAACCTTAATTCACGATACGTTTTTTTCTCCAATACTAGTAGTAGCTCTTCAGCTCAATAAGCAACTTAAAAAATCAAATTTCAGAAACCTTTGAAAGGTCAATTAATACATTTTATGAAAATCATGTAATAAATGTTTCAAGGGACAACAATTGTATGCACACTCTTACAACTTCAGCACAATAGTAGCACAAGATCAAAGAAACTGCAAAACCAGCAAACCTGCTGGGAGTAATAATCTCTTCTATTTTTGCACACCACCTAAGATTAACTATTGAAACCTTAAATAAATTTCTTCCTTTAAGATAGCCTCCCAAAAAAAACAAGAGGTTATTTTAGGAACCAATGGTTGCCACTTTAGGCACATGAACAGGAAACTCATGAATCTCATTCATCCAAGGATTCTTCTCCTTTGCTGGATTAATGGTCCTCAATGCACGCCACACTGCACTGTTGCACTTGAACCCAGAACCAAATGCAATCTGCCAAGTCCTGTCACCCTTTCTGATCCTCCCTTTAGCTTCAGTGTAGGCCAATTCATACCACAATGAACTGCTAGAAGTGTTACCAAACCTGTAAAGAGTCATTCTTGAAGGCTCCATATGCCAATCAGTGAGCTCTAGATTTTTCTCCAATTCATCCAACACAGCTCTTCCTCCAGCATGGATGCAAAAGTGCTCAAAAGCTAGCTTAAAATCTGGGATGTATGGTTTTATTTTCATCTTGAACACTTTTCTAGCAACCAAAGTTGCAAAAAACAATAGCTGCTCTGACATAGGAAGCACTAATGGGCCAAGTGTTGTGATGTTAGTCTTGAGGGCTTCTCCAGCTACAGCCATTAAGTCCTTTGAGAGTGAAACACCAATTGTTTTCTTCTCATCTTCTTCTTGAAACACACAACCATAAGATTTGTCATCTGCACCCTTATGAGTACGCACTGTATGGATAAGTTGATATTTGGCTCTTCTGCGATCAGAAGGCCTGTTGGAGAGGAGAACTGCAGCTCCACCCATTCTAAAGAGACAATTTGAGACTAGCATTGGCCGGTTGTTGCCAAAATACCAGTTGAGAGTGATATTCTCCATGCTCACCACTAAGGCATAAGAGTTTGGATGAACCTATATAGAATTGTCATAGAAAAATGAATAATTAGCCCTTAATACTTTGAAATAGAGCAATCCAGAGATAGTCATGAGTGCGTATATCCACATCATGAACAAATAAAAAACAAAGAATCAAGTGAACGAAACAATCAATTAAATCGCTTTTGATTAGTTATTATTATAGATGAACAGGAATTGTTCGTATGTCAAGATCATAAAGAGGTGGACAATTAGGAAGCCATACTATAGACACATCTAAAAAGGGTCCATTTCTTTGGGATACTTGTCGCTAGGGATTGTATTAAATTGGGTGGCTAACCGCTAACCTAACAAAAACTGCCAGCAAAATGGACAAAGAACATGGACCAACTGGACATGTGGACAACTGGTGCTACAATTGCCACAAGATACACCTACACACTAAGGGCCTACATGTGGCCCCACATGATGTTTATATAGAACATCCTGCTACAAGATTTCCATTTGATTTTCAATTTGGCCACATGAAGATATAGACTATACAGACATGCATGCTAGACAGTTACGGTAGATGAAGTTATAGCTATATGAATGAAAATAACCAATAGTAAGATTAAAGAGGGGATAATCAAAATTTTTGAAAGAATAGAAGTGCAAACCTGCAGGAGCTGCTTGGCAAGGTCTATAGAGATAAGGCCAGCACTGCAACCCATGCCACCGAGATTATAACTTAGGATATTCCCTCTTAGCTTGTAGTGGTTCACAATCATAGCAGAAAGTGACGGTGTGGGATTGAACAAGCTGCAATTCACCACCAAAATGCCAATATCCTTAGCCTTGACCCCAGTTTTGGCTAGAAGCTGATCAATGGCTCCAAACATCACTTCCTCAGCTTCTTTCCTTGCTTCAGCCATACAAGGGTTTGGTGGAACACTCAAGATTGCTGGAGGCAAGTAAGTCTTCTGTCCCAAACCAGACCTCTCAAGTATCTTCTTCTGAAAGGCCAAGTTCTCCTCTGAGAAGACCCCGGTTAACTCAGACCTTTCCATGAAAATCTCCCTTGTGCAAGTGCAGTCTGGCTCTGGCTTGTAACATGCAAAATCCACCAAGTAAACCCCTCTTGGGCGGCTCATGAAGTAGAGAGTAACAAGGAATACTATAAGACTTGAACATAGAGTCACAGACACAAGATTGAACTTGAGGTTTTCCCATAGTTGGACAACATCTTGGAGAGAGATTGTTGACAGATGAGCAGAAGCTAGCCCAAAAAGGGGTATGAGCAAAAGGTACATAGCATTGGAAATTACGTAGTGGTAACCAAGCTTCACATACTTAAGTCTCACAGATAGTAGAAAGTTGGGAAGTTTTCTTCTTTCTCTTGAAGCTTCAACAGAAACGGTTCCTGAATCATTCTTATGATCTGCCATGAGGAGGGGGAACTCTCTGGAAATGGGCTTATTGGGTTTGTATAAAGCAGGAAAATGGATGAAAACAAGGGATACAATTGTTTAAAATCAAAAGAGTGTGGCTCTGAGTTCTCTTTCTCAACGGGAAATTTTTTATTTTGGTAAAGTACTCAACTTTGGAAGAGATCGAGTATATGTGAGGCTAAGAATGTGACTGAATGAGAACAAAAGTGAGAAAAAGATCAATGGGTTGCAAAATTATGAAGGATGACAGGGTTTTAAAGGGTGGGAAGAGAGAGAGAGAGAGAGGAGGAGGAGGAGGAGGATAGTCGATACAACTACCCCAACGAACTTTTAATTGTTACATGCGGAGGCATTGAATAAGCCAACTGGGAAAATAGGCTTCACATTTGGGTTTTGTAACGTTATTTAACCTTGTTCTTTCCATGTTATTGCTGTTTTGCCACTTTATTTTTTGGCCAAGTATTCTCATTTCGCGTTCATTTATAGACACGAGTACAACACTGCCACAGCACATGCATGCGTGTTAATATTAAGATCGGTAAACAGTCCACCCTTTGGGTCAAAATCATACGTTATTGATTGGTGAACTATAAAAATAAATGATGTTTATGCGTCTCTTCTTTCTGTTTCCTCTTCCTTTTCGCTTTCGTTCCAGAGAGGAAAGCCTCCATCCTATGTGCGCTGTTTCACACTTTTAAGCAACCCCTCCCCCCTAAGTATGCTACCTAAGCTTTTTATATTGTTGCTTAACTAGAGCTTAATTCAATTCTCTTTCTGGTTATAATTGTTGAACAGAATCTGCAGTTTAAACACTTCAAAGAAAAAGGGAAAAGAGATTCAACATTCATCAGTAAAAAATTTACTCAATGACCGTTTCAACATAGTCGGTTGTTGCATCGTGCAATAAGTATGAGATTATTTAAATCCCAATTGGGAAAGAGTATATCATCCCTTCAATTTTACCCTTGTTATAAATATATGTATTTTTATCTTAATTGATTGCTTTTTTATATATAATTACCCATCTTAAACTTTAATTTTGGTTCAAATAATCATTATTTTTTTCTGATTTTATAATTAGATACCTTAAATTTTAAATATACTACAATTGGCCCTTAAACTTTATTCTTTTTTAAAATAGTCAATTTTGTAAATTAAATTAGATTTAAATTTTCAAAGAAAAGATCAATAACTTATTTACCATAAAACTCAATCGATCATTTGTATTTTTTTTTTATTTAATTCATTTTTTGAAACATCATAGCATGAAAAACCCTACATTCAAGGCTAAATACAAAGAAAAATAATAAATATTATATGCTATAAATTTATATTATATCATCAATATTTTGTTACTATATTTCCCTCTTAAAATTATTGCCGTTATATTATTATTACTATGATTATATACTAGTATTATAATATCATATATATATATATACCCATTTTTCTTCTATTATTTTTAGTGGTTTTTTCTTAAATTCAAAATATTTATTATGTTTTTATGTTTAAAAAATAAAATATAAGAAAAAATAATTAACTAATATTTAAGATAGATCAATGGTTAATATTTTTTATTAATTTAACTCTAACTTAGTTAATTTATAGAAGGAGTTATTTGTAAAATATATAAAATTTAAGAATTAATTTAAAAAATAATGTTTAAAGTGTCTATTTATAAATTTAATAAAGTTTAAGGCTCAATTAAATCAAAATTAAAATATATGATATCTATCTGCAAAAATAATAACATTCAAAAATAATTAGAACAAAATTAAAATTTAAAATATGGATTAATTTACAAACTCTCTTCCCGAGCTGATTGTGCAAACTCTAAATTCTGGGAGTAAATTTGAGTATTTAAATAGACAGCTTGAAGACTACATAAGAGTGCCACGTTTCTGCAGTTTTATTAATCTACATTTAAAGCCCCTAAATTTGGAATTGCTCAATTGTTCTGGATGTTTACTAACTTTTGCCCTAAGCACTGTACCTTGTTCAACTCAATTATTGCCATTTACTACATAGGCATCGTGTGGTCATTAATATCAAAAGCTAAAACCATCCAAGGGTCAATGTTTATCTCTAAAATGTACTATGTCATATCTCTAAGGTCAGCTTCCTGGTTAGTACTTTTAGGCTTATCCTCTAGTATAAAATAATACAATAGTGATTTTTTTATTTTAATATTTATTTAACTGATAAAAATTGATAAATATATTTTTAAAGCTTATTTTATCTATTTCTTAAGTATAAATTTTATTATATGAGAAAGTTTGAGTTAGAAATCAATAAAATAAAATAATATATTACTTCCTTTTATCTCTTTTATAAGAAACTAAATAAGTATATATATTTTTAGTTCTAATTATAAAGAATATAAAATAAATTTAAAATATATTAATTGTTAAACTTTTTTTATATTATTTATTAGTATCATTAAATATACAAGTGATAATTATACTATTTAATATCATAAATATTTTTAAAATAAAATTTATATTTATAAAAAAATATAATTAATTTAATTATTTTCCTTAATTCTTGTGATTTAGTTTTTTTTTTTATAAAAAGTCTGAAAAATTACTGTATAATTTGTTATTCAAACATGTATCAGGCATATTTTTTCTATTTTTATCTTATAATATTTTTATTTAATTGTTATATATTTATTATCTTTTATATTGTCATGTTTTTATCATAAAAGTAGAGTATTGAATATATACTTGACACATTTATAAATTGGTAGACAGAGATCACAAGGGTGTTCAGGCAATTGACACTTGTTAATTCTTTTTCTTCGAATAACACTGATTATTTTGTATCGATCACCGAACAGTTTTGAGTTGATGTTTTATAAGTATTTTTACGTCCAAAGAAGAACAAGAGCACGTGTGACTTCTGTAGTTTAGTTCAAAAGCATCTCAGACAAAATTAGAGATTGTATACCACCACACGTCAGGTTTATTAATTTAAATATGAGATATAAAAGTTATAATTACGTTAATATGTTATTTGTGACAATTTTACGGAACTGTGAATTTTGAAAAGTTATTGGTGGCTATTTTTGGAGAGTCTACAATATTTAAATATGCTAGGCTTTGACGTGATAAAGCGTGAATGCTGAATAGGAAATTTGCAGAGTGAAAAATTGCCAAACAATTTTTAGAGCTATATAATGATCTTTTTAATCATAAACTCATGTGCGGAAAGAATGTAGAAGAGAGAAACTAAGATGGAAGAGTGAAGAAAGAATTGACGATAAAAAAAGAGAAAAATAATGAAAATAAAAGAAAAAAAGAGTTAAAAAATAAAAAAAATTCAAAAAAATATTTAGTTTAATTTTTTTAAAAAATATATTGATTAACAAATTTCTTTAATATGGTTTGTGATACAATTATGAATTCAGAAAAGCACATCTCAAAATTACTACGAGCTGAAAATGTAAGTAATTTTTATGATTTATGTTATTAAAATAAAATTTTGTAATTATGGCTAGTTATTAAATATTATATTTAGTGATTAAATATCTAATATGATTAAATATTTTAAAATGATGATAATTTAAATAATGTATTTAATGATTAATTATTTTTTTATGTCAGGTAACGAGACTATTACGACCTCGTTACTTAGTGATAACACCGCCTAGACCTGAGATATATGACATTTTACATAATCTTGGACTTTATCGTCTTGCACAAATATGTTAAATGCATATAAATGGTGGGCTTGCACTTGTTGAATGTTGAAGACCAGAAACACATATATTCTATCTTCCTTGTGGAGAAGGCACAGTAACATTAAAAGATGTTGATATGTTGCTTGGACTGTAAATCAATGGTCTACCTGTTAGTGGTTCTACTAATCCGAATATTATAGCATTGCAGGATATGTGTGAATAGTTACTAGGTAGTCGGCCTGTATCTAACGATGTTGAAGATTCAAAAATAAGATTGAAGTGGATCACGCAATATTTTGGTTGGCTTCCTACTAATTTTGACCATAGGATAGCACAACATACTTGTGGATACATACTTTCTTTGTTGAGACATGTTCTAATGCCGAATAAAAGTAATTCAATAGTCTATGAAAATTTTTTACAATTGTTGGTGAATGTTGATGAAATTGGAATATATAGTTGGGGTTTAGCATGTCTTGCCTTTCTGTATAGAGGTCTAGATTGTGGTTCACGATAAGATGCTAAAGAAATTTATGAATGCTTAATACTACTGTAGGTATGGACATGACACCAACTCCCATGGTTTGCTCTAATACCTGGTGAACCAATAATATTTCCACTTGCACTTGGATAGCGACACATTCGATATCTAACCAATACTTCATATAGAGACCTTGGAAATGTTAGAGTGACATTAGATAAAATGGGACTTCATGAGATACCAGTTAACATATGTTAACTCTTGTTAAATAATTTTGTACCTCTTTCACATTACTAAGGTATATATAATGTATTTTGTGTTAATGTAGTTTCTATGGTGACTATATGAGGATGAAGCTATTGACGTAGTTATTCCAGATTACGTGAGAGGCGAACGTCTATTATGGTCAACTGTAAGCCTATTGATATGCTTTGAGGTTGTAGAGTGGCATGCAGCTAACCGTGTAATGTGTCAATATAGATTTGCTCAGCCTATTCCTCTTCTGTCCCAAAGTCTTGAGGGAATCCACAACAAAGGCTTGTGTGGTTTAAGAGAACCAAAGAATTGGAGATTAATACATGATGATTGAGTGACAATGTAGGAACAACGATATCAATGTACATTAGAAGGAATGCCAATTAACAACTATTATCCTTTGAATGAGTATTGGAGTTGGTACACAATCTATGCAATGAATTGGTTGTCCCTACAATGGAACAACCACAATCTCAATAACAACAGTGCCTGTTAGAGCAAAATTTCATGTCTCTACCCACGCAGTAACAGGGGATTCCACCATCCTCAGTTCAACCAAATGAGGAGTTATATTGGTCACCGCACATGAACTAGTGACATCCATTTTAATGGGATGAACAACCCCAACCTTCACGCATGTCTATGGATAGAAGAGTTATTCGTCGTGGCTCCAAAAGTAGAGGATTGCTGAGAAGGAGATATATTGATTGTAGCACTGGAAGTGTCATGTCTCATGGGTTTTTATGCACATATGACTTTGTCATTGATGATGACACACATGGTCAAGACATTCTTCACTATGGAATTGACTTTAATGAGAACACAATCATGGAAGAAACAGCTATTGATGAATAAGTTTATCGACCAGAACCAGTTACTCCAAGTGAGCAATGCTCCATACCAATCATGTCTTTGGAGATGACAT